ATAAGCTGGCACATACACACAATAAAATGTTACAAACTTCTGGCTATGTGTTGTCTTTGTGTTTGTCCTGCGGTCTGAGACTCAACAAAAATATTTGGACACTGCAGCGTGCAACAGGAGGGGGGGAACCGAAAGCCAAAATACCTAAGGCAAACAATACTCGTACTCGTAAGAGAATTACTTTAATGGGCAGTCGTTGACCTGCCGCCACTCGCCGCATCCTTGTCCTTGGCCAAGGTAAGCAATTGGAAATGCTCTGCGTGCCGGCAATCCATAAGTTTTCCGGCTCTTGGCTCTTGGCAATCTGGTCACATAGCCGGGGACCCACGTCAGCCACTTCCAAATGCATGCACAGTTGACTTGTCAGCCTGTTAATTTGCTAAATAATTTTGGAATTCTGACCAATCCGTAACGAAGGCAGTAACTCAACATGGCACGCCCGTCCGAATCAGGGCAGAGGGGCGGTGGGGCGGGTGAACGGCGGGTGCCAAATGTTCGGCACGGCAATGCGTGTAAGCAAAATCCAGTTTAGCCTAATTCGGAAGGGATACATTCTGGTGGGGCCAGAAACTATTTATGATTTCCCAACACGAACGATTTCCCCAGCCACGCGTCCACACCTTCTGCCACTCACCCTCCGGATTATTTGTTTGCCGTTTTGCTGACTACTACGTGAGATTGTTCTACGTTTAAAAAAACAAAAACAAGTTTGAACAATAATAATAGTACTGCCGCCAACATTTGGAATAGAAGATACCCCCACTTGAGGGTCTTTTGTGAGGAAAAGGTGGGATAAAGCATTCTCCACAAGATGGAAACTACAATTGTTGATGCTGATCGAGAATTATATACATGTGTATATACTTTTTTGGATGCAAAGCGCTTTTTGCAACATATGTATATGTACACTTGTGCGAATACGATGTGCCCCAAGAGTATTCCCTGAGTAAAGGGTATGAAAAAGTAAAGCAACGAATGTTCTCCACGTACATGTATGCATGAATGTAGACCCCTGGAAACACGTTCATCAATTAGCGCCGAAGATTTAATTGTGGCACGTGTGAACTTAATTAAACGGCATTAGTTTGTATAATTGCAGTCCCGATGCGAGGAAGGGACCCACCGTCACTTGACTGTGAGGTCCTGCGCAATTTAATTGCAGCTCTTTTCCCTCAACTGCATTTGCATTCCAATTAATTTTAGAGTACGCATGCAATATGTATTTTTTTGGGGCCAGTTTCGAGTTTCGAGTGGGGAGAGGGGAGAGCAGGAGCAGCTACTCGGTTGGTTATTATTTTAAGGCTGCTTGCCACAAAGTGCTGGGTTTACCGCAGAAGAAGTAGGGGCACCTGCACCTATGTTTCATTTAATTAGCATTATTGTCATGGAAACCGCAAAAAGCTATTTGCGGTGTAAATTAACTTAGTATCCGAGCGAGGGAGCAAGCGACTGCAGGTAAATATAAATATTTTTAATTATATTATACCAGGAGTTGTGTAAACTAAACTAAAATTTGCAAAATGGGCTGATCCAGGTCAGAACACCACATCTGTGCGGCAGCTAGGAGCTGGCAATGCACTTGATCGCCTAGGCGGAAGCCAAAGTGCTCTGCAAAATCCGAAAATTTAAAAATTAAAGAATTTAGCTATACGATAAGCTTTATAGCACTGAATATCTTCCCTTCAACTAAATATCGGGTTTCGTTGTATTTGGAATATTTTAAAGGCTCCACAACAACTGTCTTTTTAACCGTAGGTAGACATAGCAAGTATAATAACATTATAAATGTACAGGTAGATATATACAATTAAGAAAATCTCGCCTCTCTTCAGACGTGTCATTCCCTTTTTAAAACTCTGGGAAATATTTTCTGAAATAAATGCAAGCTGTCTCTGTCATGAAAATGTTTGGAATTTCATGTTATTTTGTTTCAATTTGATTTTCTTTTAGGCCAACAAATCCGAGACCTTGAGTCGAAACATATGTAAATGCAAAATTGACTTGAAGACTGATTCATCTCAAAATGTTTGGCATATCGAGTGGCTAGTGAACATGGCCAAAACGAACAACACAGATTACCCGTGCCGAATGTAGACCATTCATTTTCGGCTATAATGCGAAATGATGTTAATACTCGATGTTCTTGGTGTACCCCGGGTGCATTGTATTTGTGGAAATGTTTGCAACAGAAAGATGGAAGCGTTTTCGACCATACAATCGATACATATGAATATGAATCTCTATACGAAATCGAAATCGTATTTGGCTGATCTTTCTGTAAGAAGCAAGGGGTATTTTCTGTTGACCAGGTCCTGGACAAACTCCTGTGGCGCCTAGTCCCCACACCGCGCAGTTAGATATAATGAAAGGCTGCACAACACGCACGACCGAAATTACAAGCAATGAAAATTCTGCTCTAATTTCTGGTCAGGCTCAGAAATGACCTGAAACGACAAACAAATTTCTGCGCAAAGGAGCAGCTTATTTAATTCTGTGTGAAAACTATGGTCGTTGTTGTACTGTAGTTTCTGTTTGCTGTTTTGGTTGCATCTGCCTATGCCTATGGGCTGGATTTTAGTTGAAAATTTTCGCACCGCACTTAAATAATGTAAATATAATTTGGCTGTTTGCCCGACTGCAATTTGGCAACATTTTATGCGCGCTCATGTTCCATTAGACAGAGCAGAGATCCCGTTTTTGTTCTGCTCCTCCGCCCGCCTGCAGTCAGGTGACAGGGCCACTAATTAGAGTCAATAATGTGGACGGACCGAGTGCGATGTTATGCGAGTCGGTTGTGTCCCATTGTTGGCGTGCTAAATAAATCAGAAAGTAATTAAAACAACATGAAGAGTTTCAGTTTCAGTTACAGCTTCAGATCCAGTCTCTGTTTCAGTTTCAGTTCCAGCGGAAGCGGCACTTGGCCTCCCTGCCACTCCCATGGTCATGCTCATACCCTTCCCTGCCTTGAACAGCGGTGCTTCCTGCTTATTTAGCAAACGAAATGAAATAAAAACAAATACAATCAAATTGAGAGCAACTGAGGCGAGCCGAGGCATTGAACACTCTTGCAGTCGCACTCCGATGTTAATCTCAATCGGTAATAGAAATAACCAAATTAATTTTGAACTACTAGTTTTGGAGATTGTTTGTCTGCAGAACTCTTGGATACTCCTTAGATACCATTGCATCTTAACAGAATCATTCGCATTGGGATTATATTCGAATGGTAATAAAAATACCTCTTGAAAGGGTAACAGCAAAACTGTACAAAAGGACAACAAGGGAGGTCGGTTGGTCGGTCGTCGGAAGCGCAGCCACAACAGAACTGTTTGTTGTTTGGTTGTGGGTAATGGCAGCGGAATAAAATGCGGTGTGGGTGAAAGAGTGGCACGACCCAGGGGAAAATAGAGAAAACAAAAAATAAAAATAAACTTAATTTACGTTTATTTACTATGACAAATGTTTTCGAAGGAGTGCAACTTTTAATTGCAAAATTTATTTAATTTCCCTGCGCCAGCGGATGTATTTTGTTTCGCTATAGTTCGTTAAGTTAATCAGAATATAAGCGATGAAAACCGAACAAAATTCAGCGGGAAAATAACATAAAATAACACTTAACATAAAACATAAATTTGGTTCAAGAAAATATCCAAAGAACTGAAACAACATCTGGCTTTTGACGCGATTTCTATGTTCGAAACTATGCCATTGCAAAGATAGTTTGGTGCCACAGTTTGTTTGACCCGCACACTGTCAAATCCATTCAGCTGTAGAAAAAGACGCACAATTTCTGGATGGACAGGGCATGGAAAGTGGACCAAGAAGAGCAAGAAATATACATTAGTGGGGAAAAAGTGTGAAGAATTTCCCATCTCATGTCTTTTTGTTCTACTGCCACAGGCGGAATTTTCATTAAGGCATTTTTGATGTCTAATTTGCATATTTTTGCAGCTGCCCGAGATGCCAGGCAAGTGACACGTTAAGCATTCTCAAAAAATGGGTGTGCCACCGGGGAGGGTGGTGGCACGGCACCATACTGCACTTGAAAGAAAAGTGCAAGCGGGTTTTTCTTGTTGCATCTCACCATTCCCCTCTCCGTAGCTGCCACTGTGATGGCCGGCTGTCAGTTTCTAGTTGTCCCACGGGCGGCCGACATCCTTTCTGCCCGGATTTGGTGCCTGGACAAAGTGTCGAGTGGCAACACTAATTCGCTTGCAGCATGCCACAGCAGAACGAGCCGCTATGAGCAGGGACACACATTCACACTGTGAATTTCACAGTGATCCATTTTGCATGTTATACCCTAAGCAGAAGGTATTATGACTCTGATCAAATCCGGTTTTTGGCCTAGGAAGAGGCGGAGGGAATCCGAATTCTTTTTTTATTGTCGGTACGTATTATATAAAGCGGATCCGCCATTATCGTATGTCAATATATCACATAGTTGCCATTTACACAATGTACACATCTTTAAGGGTATCTAATGCCTCTGCTACCAGAAATTGCCTTCAACTCTTGTACTTTTTATTAGATTTTCAGCTAAATTTGTGCCTGCGCTTTTTGCTCTTGGGTTTTTGTTAATTTCCAATTTTGAAACCCACCCTCTCTGCTTGTGCGAGAGTGTGTATACAGCTGTGAATATGGTCAACATGTCGCTTGGCTCATGGCATTAATTCAATTGCTGTTTGCATACATACGGCCGAGCCGGAGAGAGCGGAGACGGATCTCATGTTACTTGCCTCCGCCCCGAAATGTAGGCAACACGTTGAGTCCAGACAGTACAATTATGGGGACATGGATACGGAAACTCTAGGGTGAGGTTTCTTCCACTTCACTCTTTCCAAAATGGAACTAATAATCAGAAATGTCAAGAACAAAGAGAAAAGCATTCTCGTGTTTGGGGATCCACAATTCGTTGCTTGCATTCTCGTATATTTTTTTTCTTTCAATTTTTGATTGCTTTTCTGTGCCAAGAATTTTTGAAATATTGTTCTACTCACCAAAGCCTTGGAGCACATGGACTATGCGTACTATGGCTCGATTTAAAAAGCTTTATTTTTCGTTTCGATTGGCAATATTTATTTTTGAGAATCTTTTAACTCAATAGGGATTCTCTACGGCAGGAATGAGATTCATTTGGTCTATTCCGCGGGCAAAAAAATCACTTGTACACAAAGGAGCACTTTGAGGCGATCAACTGCAACGCGTCGGGTTTCGAGGTTCGTTGGAGCGAATGATGCGCGAACAGGTTGAGGCTATGCCATTTATATGGAAGTGGCTACTTATATAGAAGTCGCAGCGCCCGAAAGTAGGCAGCCAACCTTTTACATACAATAGCTAGGCCAGCAGCGGCTGCTGCGGTGGCTGTTGCTAGATATGCGCTAACCTGTTCTGAAACCCGTACAACAGGTTGTAATTGCGACTATAAGATACCCACTATTCGGAAACCATCCAATCGACCATCTCAAAGTGAGTCGAACAAGAAAAGAGTCTATAAACCTAATATCTGCAGGAAATACAGATAAATATATGTATATCTGAGCCACACAGTAACTGCATATCCTTGAATTTGTGTCTCCAGTCTCCAAGATCATGATGCGGGCCATGAATACAATATATCGATCTTATGAGGCTCGCCCTGCATGTTGAATAAATTTGCATATACACCAATATACCTTCGTTCTCTGCAAATGGCGGGGTATGAGAGAGGGACTGTCATTGGAGCAGAAAAGCTGGCGGGACACTGAAAGTAATTAGTCCCACAAAGTACGCTGACGGTTGCCCTTATCAACAGCCCCTGCACACAGATACATAGAGGAATATGGACTGCAGCCTTACATCATCGTCATTGGCGCTTTATAGAAAACGAAGGATTGTGGTTGGGTAGAGTATATATTCAGGGGTGGCAGGAGCTGACGGCCAGCTGGCTTATCTCTAATGTTCGCGAGAGGGAACGAGGGATGGGGGCTGGACTAACCCATACTGCAGTGGAATATCCCACTGTATTGATAACATTTGAATTTTTGGCTTGATTTATGAGCAGGCATACCATGAAACTACTCGTAGCTCCCTGGCATATCGGAACAAACAACAACCAACAGCAAACAACAGCCATAAAAAGAACAACCGTGTAGCAACTTCAACTTTGACGCAGTTGAGCGTAAATTGAATTGAATCATCATGGGCCCCATATTCATGAACGTAATTATTCCATTTACCATTCTGGGTGAATAATTTCGATCTAAGCATTGATCAGGTTTCCGCAAGAGCATACTTTTGATGTTTGCGAATTATTATTTCATAAGGCTGCGTACCCAAACTGCTGCGGATTTTCCATGCCACAAGGAAGATAGAACATGACTCTTACTGCATACGAGCACTTCCATTGAAATGTGAAATGAAATCGGATTTTGCTCCTCATCGATTTCAGAATTTCCATGTTCCCTGCAGGCTGTGTCTTTCAGTTAGCCAAACCAAATTTATGGCCAGCTTCTTGGTTTTGCTTACATTTTAGTTGTTCGGACAGGTTTTCTGCTAGATACCCTAGTAAGGGAAATCTATTTTTGTCTGAATACTATGTATACCTACATACATATGTAGTTGTAAAGGCTTGCAGCCTGGTATCTGATGTGTTGTTGGTTGGTTGTTTTCGAAAGGGTAAAGAGTTGCCCCTGAATTTAATGCTTCTTGTAGGAAGCCTCTTAAATTTTTCGTAGTCGCTTCACATATTTGCAAAGCGTTTGCTTTAGGGTTAAGCGCTTTTATTGCATTCTTGCAGATGCCAATGTGAATGGTCCGTGCTGTTATTGGCTCTGTCTCTGGTGCTCTTCTCTTCCCATCTCACCCACCATTTGCGATCTAATAAACTTTACATTTGTTGGTCTTCTTTTTTTCCTCAGAAAAAGAATGCTGCTGGGGCGTAGATATTGCCCAGCTCGGGCACAGTTTTTCAGGACACTTGAGGCTTTCATTTTGTATGTAGTCCAAGTGGAGTCCTCGTCTGCAGCTGGCCAACTTCCGTCCATTGTTGACTTCATTTTAATGTTCTGGCTTTTTGCGGCTTTTCGACTCTGGCGCTTCACTCACTACTGGACTGCCCCCCTCTCGCTCACTCTCTGTCCATTATATTTAAAAATTTCCTTTGTGTTTTAGCATCTTAAAGTTTTGCAAATAGATTTGGTGCACTTGTTTTTGGGTTCTTTTGCGGTCATATTTTGAGGTTTTTATTCATTTATTTATGCAGATTTTTGTTTTTGCCATAAATTTTCGTTTGTTTTCCACATAATGCATAAAGGATTTGCAGCAGTTGGGTTTTCTTTTCGCCAAACTTTCATTAAAGCGATTAAAAAGTATTATTTTGGGCGTATGCGATGACACAGTTAATAGTTTTTAATTATTTTATCATTCGTTCTGTTGCCTGCGATTAGGGAGTCCGCTAGTGCCGTGGAAAAACAAAAATTCACAGAGCTTCGATGTACCCCTACTCCTGAAAAAAGAAGCTTAATTAATTTCCACGCTGCAGTTCGTCAGGTATTTGAATTACAATGCATGCGTATAAGATACGGTCTGTTTCATAATCAGCGTGTAATCTTTATGGAGAGTGACGCACATGCCCCATTCGATCAAACGCCCACCGGAATGTGGTGCACCACACACGCTCTTTGGCGGCATATACATAAATCACACAAAACTATTCCCTTTTCCGGCATTTACATGGAGTCTTATCTATGATGAGGGAGCTGCCCTCCACTGGATGGCCACTGCCACTGCCACTGCCACTACCACTGCCATTGCCATTGCCACCGCCTCATCGTCTGACTGACTGTCTGGCCGACTGTTGCCCTTCAATTTTATGCAATATCTCGTCTTTATGGCCTGGCCACACCCCTCCATAGCCAAAGCCATCTCTATCTCTTTCGATTATTGTCACTAATATTGAGCACGCGTTTTAATTGAATTTCACGCGCTTCCCATAAAATGACAGCGTGTCCGAGTCCTGGTCCTCCCTTTATGGCTGCTCTGGCTGGAGGTTTATGTATCCTACTCCTTGTAATATATATACTCGCCTCTATCTCATTTGATTGCTCTCGCTTCTTGTTATGGCCAATCGTAAATTTCTTCTCTGTTATTGCCTTGTTCATAGTTTATAATAATATTGATAATTGGCAGTGACATCAGTGCGATCAAGTGCTGCGGCATGTGGTTGTAAAAATAATCATATGTCGCAATACTGAGAATCGTTCATTAGCTTTCCGCGTATACTCGTATAATGCCCTTCCCTTCCCAATTGTTTTGTCCACTGCAGGCCGTAATTTTTTCGATTTTTAATTACCAACTGATAATTGGCAGCGACATTCTTATCAGCTCATTTGGCCGGGCTAAAGCTGGGTAGTTATCTACATACATTCATATACGTATGTATGTGGTGACGTTTAATGGTTGTTCCGGTGATAAGTTGGTGGGGAATCATGTTCGTCAGAGCGAGGTGCATGGCTGACCTGGGCAAGGGGTTTCTTAGGAGATGTGTAAGTTGATTGACTATTAAAAGATACAGGTATTCTATTCTAGACCTACTTCAGCAATCATAGTTCATTCTAAACTTTGAATCTTTGATCTTTGATATAAGTACATTTCAACTGCATGAAAGCTGTATACATCTGGAAAAGAACAAAATAATTCCATGTATCTTATAGAAGAAATTCCACTCTTTACTTTTTTTTCCGTTTACTTCCGTTTCCTGAAAGATATAAACGGTACATTTCTTGCCAATAAGGAAAATAGATATGTATGTTGTATATTTTTGACATTGCTTTTTATTTGTGTGTTTATGGCAGGCAATTGTTAATTGTTAGTCACTAAGCAAATGTTTTTTAGTTGGTTATCTTTGAGGAAACTCATTTGGTTTATATGGCAAAGTACGCATAAGTGGGGTCGTAAAAAAATTATAAACAATTCCCGAGGTGATTTTTCTTCGAGCTGTTGACTCACTCTCGAACCGAGCGGGTGAGTGAGTTGCCAACTGACAGCCGGACAGACATTGAGCAGCATTGAAAATTGTTTGCTGCTGGGCCATTTACAAAACAATTACACTTATTTGTGAGCCATTTAACAGCGTTACCCAAGTGGCCTGATGGCTGACAATCCATCAGCGGGAGCTGCTGTGCGCTCTGTGTAGCAGACACTACTCGACAGCTCGCTGGAGCGCGAACCTTGGGGCAGATGCAGCAGCATCAGGACGGACTCCCTACTGCTTAGTATGCAGCTCAGCCAGAAGGAGGATGAAGAGGCAGCGACATTGACAGTGACAGCGAGGCAGAACTGCAAGGTTACGTGTGCAATATTAAGCATACGCAGTGTGGTGCAAAATTCTACACCTTGGAAATTTGGGTGTAATTGAGTGATTACCTCTCGGGAAGTTGGTTCGCTGTTTGCCTTTTGTTTGCCTTTTGTTTGGCGATAAGCTTCAAGACAGGCGCGAATCGTTATTATCTTATTTCTCGGAAGTTGGGTCTTGAAAATTAAGAATAACAGGAAATTCCGCACTTTCTTTCGGGGGGTTCACCGAACCGTGCTCCCCCGTTCTTAAAATATAATATTATTTATAACGAAATTATTAAACCGCAAATTAATTTGAGGGATTCTTTTATGCAGAGTTTGAGATAAGAATTAGTCCCAAGGATTGACCACAATCAATAAATATATAATTTAATTTTTAAAGTCTAAGGGAAAGCCCCTGATAGGGGTAGTCGATGACTAAGTCGACTTGGTCGTATGCTTTGGGGCCACAGCAACTAGTATAATGCGATTCCATTAGTGATTGTCTTTATCAGTGGCAAGATAAGGGGCCCCTGAGTCCCAGTGGTCTTGTAAATTCATAGATAATTGGTGTTCCCTCATTGTTACGTGCCATAAAAGCATTGACCACAAGTCGCTTTTGACCAAGTTTCGAATAAACACTCGAACAAACAACATGCAGCACGGACTTCTCGTCGTCATCCTGCTGGCCTGCCTGGCGGCCAGCTCTAGCTCCACTGCCACTCCAACATCCCTGATGTCCGGCCACTCCCGGATGTTGCAGCTAATGAGCTCCACTTCCGAACTGCAGAGGGATAACCCCACCCGCTCCATGGCCTGCTTTCAGTACTATAGCGAAGAGTTTGACAAACACCTCAAGCAATTCGAGTACGAGTACGGCCTGTGCAAGGAACAGGCCATCAATCAAACCGCCGACCTCTACGCAAAGTACAATCAGGTTGTCTATAGCCTGGGAAACACAACGATCGAAGTTTGTAAGGCGCTTACGGACTGCACCTACGGAGCGAACGCTCTCGAGTCCCTGAACTGCTACTCCGCTCAGGTATGCACGCTCACTTACTCATAATCGAGAGGCTTGAACTAATTTTAATGAATTTTCAGGGCTCCGAGAGTGTGAGGAATGCATACAATCTTTCTTCAACCGCTTCGCTGTACTCCGCCGACCTGACGCAGGACCTCCAGCAAGTGACCTTCCGGGAGGAGGGCTGCTCCAACAGCTCGTCGCGTCGTTACGAGGCTCGCCTAGATCAGTCCTACATCGATCTGCAGAACTGTTTGTCCGGTGCAAGCCCAGTGCCAGTCCCAGTCCCAACTACAACCACAACACCCCCTTCAACCTCAATCATATCAACGACAGAAGATTCAACTACGCAGGAAATTATTCGAACTACTTGGAACTACCAAGCTGACCCAAAAGATGATGGCAGTATTGCCTCCGACAAGAATCATAGATTGGCATCGAAAATCGGCCACATTATCAAGCATATTGTCTAACTTCTAAATAAACACGATAAATTCCTTTGTATAAAGTCGCTTACAGAGCCACATAATGGTTTTAATTTGTGAATTTTAAGTACATGTAGAAGTGTTTTCAGACTTTTAAATTGCTTATTGAACCACAGACAACTATGAAGGGTATCTGCTGGATAGCTAGGACTTATCGTATTCGTTGAGTACATGACTATTCTTATCCGCTGAATACGATAGATATCAATGGATTTGAATGGGCGCTTTATAGTTTTCATAGTCAAATATCCATATGTGTTTCTCCAACTTTTATTCCTTTGATCCATAATAAAGATATGGTGATCTATGATCTACAACAGGACACTGCATCAAGTGAGAATCCGACTAGCAGGTGTGTTTCAGGGACGAACACAAACAAGAAACTAAAACCTATGGCAACTTACTTAATTAACGGCCCCTGATCTAGGTGGGAAACGGAGTAGGCCGCCAGCCCGATGCGATGCAAATAAAACTTTCTGCATTTGCTGTCAGTCCAAGTTTATCAAAGATCCAGAGGCAGACCGGAGGTAGATAGATAGACGCAGTGAGTGAGAGCAAAGAAAACATGCAAATAAGCTTGGAAAAACTTTACCCCCAGCAGGACAAACAAAAATGGGAAAATAAGAAAGAAAGAAAAGCTAGCTACGAAGACGGATGGATAGATACCCTTGCAGATCCATCGTTCCAATGAAAGCTATTATCTGACATAAGAGGACGTAGTCTTCTTATTGGTTCCGACCTAGTAAACGTTAAGAAGGGCCTGGTGTGGGATAAGTTTCAGCTAGAAAGCTACAGAACCAAGCGACTAGTCTGACCACATATCGCTGAGCTTTAAAATGCTGGTCGAAAGAGTAATACTCTCTGCACAGGGTGCGCAAGTGAAACCAGAAGGATAACTTTAAGGTAATGTTGACAGTTAAGTAAACAGTTGAAGCAGGTCCCTGCGGTGCTTTTCATTCAAATTTAATTGCATTTGTTGTTGTTTCTGGTGCCGCCTGTGGCGGTGTTGTCACTGCAATTAAAACAAATTAGAAACGCTATAAACACTCACATACTCGTAGACGGTAACGGTAACGTTAACGGAACAGTTGCCACATGACAGGCGGAGGCAGAGATTTCTCTTTGCCAAATTCAAGTCAATAACTTGATAGGCATCCTGAAAGCAAAGCACCCCTGGCTTCCTGCATCTCTGCACCGTTGCGCTTTTCTCCAAGGCAAGGGTGTGCGTGCGGTTGCACTTCGGCAACCAACTGCTCACAGAGATACACACAAAGATAAATGTCAAGACGCACGCATACAAAGAACGCAATTAAGATATGCAAATTAGAAGTCGGTGTCGTCCGCCTTGTCCTTGTGCTGCTGCTGCTGTTGTTGCTGCTGCTGCTGTTGTTGCTGCTGCTGCTGTTGTTGCTGCTGCTGCTGCTGCAGCCTCCCGATGAGATTTTCAGTGAATTTGATAATTATGCAGAGGCATGCGATGAGAACAGCTACGAGCACGTGTGGATGGCCGCATATGTATGTATCTGAGCTACTGGTGTTTTTGTTGTGCAATAATAATAAGTCAACGAGCGGCATCTTGTGATAAGTGAGTCATTGTCGGGGCGTACGTATTTTTCCCCATTTAGATGTCATTGTTGCTAGTGACCAACCGACAAGGGGCTGCGATAAGGCTCAAGGGGACATTGATTGGGGATTCATTGAGTAAACACAATTACTGGTGTTGGTACTTTTCAAAAAAGGGAAACTTTTTTTCCCCAATTCAATGAAGGTTAATGAAAAATTACAAAGGAGAATTTATCAAATTTAACTCAATCTATGACATGCTGATAACCACTAAAACTCTGTTGAATATATAAGACATTTCTGTACATACTAGCCCTACATGAATTCAACATAATTCTTTAAGTCCTATCTATACTATATACATATTTATGTAACTTGTTATTCCCCAAATCAATGGAAGTTAATGAAAAATTAGAGAGGAGAACTTATCAAATTTAACTCAATCTATGACATGCTGATAACCATTAAAACCCGGTTGAATATATAAGACATTTCTGTACATACTAGAGCCCTATATGAATCCAACATAATTCTTTGAGTCCTATCTATACTATATACATATTTATGTATATATGTATATAAATACTAGAATTCAATGCTTTTGAGCGATACGAATTTTGCATTAGTTTCTGCTTCCGACTGATCGGCTTATCTGTAAACTATTTACGGGTGGGAAAATATATTTCTCCCACGATCTGTCTACTAGATGGAGATTAAACGGGAGCTGAGTGCCGAGTGCCACTGAATATATTGCACCTTTTCGCAATCACCGGTATTTGTTTTCTTTCCACTTTCGCAGCGTGATTATATATTATCTATGTGATTGTCGGGGGGCTTTAGAGTTTTACTCGGAATCGATAATGCGAATGGAAAATGGTCAGAGAGACATACATACATACGAGGACATACGAGCTGGACAATGAAGACGACCTCCAACGTTAACCAAACTTTGGTATTGTGATTAGGCATCTTTTAATGTGCTCCGGCGAAAGTTTTATCCACATCGATATTATAGTTACCGTTGAAAAATCGATTAACTAATTTGATATCAGTAAAAATTTTGTAAAAATGTAAAAGGTTGAGTGTCGGTCGCAGGACGCTGTCTATGAAGACTCATTCCCCAGATGTCTTTCCAGCATTGTGGTCCGAAACAACCACGGGCATCTGTCATCGCCCTTAGAGCTTCGCTTGCATGATTCTGATTTTATAAAGATACGTCTTCGCTGCACATCCCCAGACTTGAATGCCGTATGTCCATTTAGGGATTATCATTGCCTTGTACAACAATACAACCGAATATAATTAAAAGAGATAGCTATGATCACCAAGATGTCTAAAGACTACATATTCCATATTTTTAACAACGATTTGGACATGGAAAAGCTCTCGGCACGTTGGGCAACAGTTTTTGGAGGTAGTCGTGGAGTAATATATACCGATTATCTGGAGAAACGAAAATTACGAAGAAAATTGTCAGAAATTAAGGCCTTTTTGAACAGCTGAAGTTGTGGGGCACAGCTGGGAGAAGTGGAGACTTAAAAGGATACTCTGTTGAAAAGTAATATAATAAAATACAATTTTAAAGCTGTTGTCAGCCCAGAAACTTTTCGGTCTGCCCTCGTACATATATGCGGCATGTGTCAGATTTTGAGCCAAACCTTTTTAAATAGTAGTTCAGCTCTGTAGCTGATTTGATCATTTGGGAATTTGGGTGGAGTGCAAAAGAAATAGCCTTCCCTGAATAGCCGATTCCAGAAAGTGTTGACATTGATGAAGTGTGGAACGCAAAAGATTTCATAAAAATATCAAGAGAGCTGGCGTCAGGGGATAATGGGTGGAACGCCTAGAATTGCTTTGATAACTTAGATTTGAAGGGGTCTAAATGAGTGGCAGTTATAAAATCGATAAGACTGATAATACCGGAATAGTCTTAGAGATAGCTGGAGTGATAGGCCAAGCCTAAGGCAATAACATAGGCAATAACATGGGTTATTAACTAAAAACAATACGGATTGTCGGAATGAGTTTACGGTCCTCCGATATTGAGCACTTGAGTGGCGTGCCTATAAATACTGAAGCCGGTTGGGCAATACTGCCAAGTACGAATCGATCGCTTGAAGAGAGCGAATCCCAAAAACGAAATCCGAACTACCCCGAGTAAATCAATCTACAGTAGCGAGATGTACGCCCAAGTGTGCGTACTCCTCCTGGCCGTTGGCCTCAGCCAGGCCTATATGTCCGAACCCGTGGTTCTACCGCAGGAGCATTTAATGCGGCTCGTGCTGCAGACGCGTGATGTCGGAACCGACGCTTCCCACTCTCTCGAGTGCCTTGCCTACTATATGGCGGAGATGAGCGCGGTCGGAGAGAAATTTGATACGGAAACAAAGGAGTGCATCAGCGCGGCGCAGCTCAAGGTGGAAGCCATCAACGATGACACCCAGCCCAACCGTACCGCCATCGACAGTTCCGCCGAGAGCTCTTGTCAAGCCCTCAAGGAGTGCACCTCTATTGATGTCGCCGAGAAGTACTTTTCGTGCACCGCCCAAGCCGTAAGTTGAAATCGCCCCAACCCGCACCCAAACAAAAGTAATCACACGCTGTGCTTTATATTCGTTTTTGCAGGGTTCCGAAAACGCCAAGTCCATGTTCACCATCTCTGCCAATTCGAACGAGCTGGTGGCCCAAATCAAGGAGACGTACCGCCAAATCCAGGTGTGGCAATACGATTGCACCAACAAGACGCAGCGCGAATATGCCGAGAGCTCTGCTGCTGTCTACGAGGATATGAGCGCCTGCATGTCCGGAGCTGATATTCCAACGACAGGACCAACCACATCCGCTCCTCCCACAGACTCAACAGAGAGTTCTACAGAGTCGTCAACAGAGAGTTCTACAGAGTCGTCAACAGAGAGTTCTACAGAGTCGTCAACAGAGAGTTCCACTGAGTCGTCAACAGAGAGTTCTACAGAGTCGTCAACAGAGAGTTCTACAGAGTCGTCAACAGAGAGTTCCACTGAGTCGTCAACAGAGAGTTCTACAGAGTCGTCAACAGAGAGTTCTACAGAGTCGTCAACAGAGAGTTCCACTGAGTCGTCAACAGAGAGTTCTACAGAGTCGTCAACAGAGAGTTCTACAGAGTCGTCAACAGAGAGTTCCACTGAGTCGTCAACAGAGAGTTCTACAGTTACCACCACCGAAGGAACCAAGGAGTCGCCCCCTGAAGAGGACTTGAATCATCTGATCAGCAAGATTGAGAGCAACGGAAACAGAGACGTGAAACAGATTTTGAAGAATATTCAGAAGTGGCTCAAGCAAAACTAAGACTTTAGTTGCTTAAACATTCAATTTAAAAGCCTACAATAAAGAAAGCATAAATGTATTTTTATCTTAACTATTTATTGAAAAAAAAAAACCTAGAAAGCCTGATTATTCTATTGTTATGTAGATGGGTGAGTTTTAGGGAGATTCCACCGGTTTTTTTAGTTTTTAAAAAGTCACGTTGATATCGTTTATACCCTTGGATTGGTGTTCAATATAAATGAAATAATAATAGCCAGAGGCCACCTGATGATTCATTGAATAGCTATAGGTTTGGTTTGATAGTGATATAGAAAAGACAAGAGTAATCGAGTATTAAAGTGTTATCTGGAAAGTCGTCGATAAAGTAGTACATTTTAGTCTTGCGTCTTTTAGCGTGATCAAAAACCCCACTCACGGCAATCGTGGCTGGTCACTATGAGACGAAGCAATTAAAAATGGCCTAAAGATAAGAATTCCACATGTCAAACACTGAAAAAATAACTTTTAAAGCCAAGAATATATTCTGGAACGGGAGCACAGGTCGTTTATTCCAGAAGGAACAATAAAATCTATGATTATTTTAATGTTCAGATAAGATTCTTGCTAATTCTAGCATTATTTGAGATCGTAGGTATTAATTTAGCCATTTCTTAGAACTGTGGTATTTCCCGCAGTGCAGGAGCTTTTATTGAAACACCCGTGACCATGAGACAATCGATATTTCGGAGCTGTTTAGTCAGAACAAAACTTATTAAAAACCAAATCGGAAGGAATCACGGCAACGATGAGGTACAAGATAATAAGTTAATTAGCTTTTAATCAGGCCGTAATAAGACATTCGAGCGCTATTTCCCTTTGACCACAAAATCTGATAATCAGGGGCTATAAAAATCAGAGCCTCACCCGAGGGGCTTCCAGTAATATTCTTAGGTCCGCCATTCGCGTATACGTAAACTCCCAAGGATCACGCGCTTTTCCAGCCATGAAGTTTGCCCTTGCCCTGTGCCTCATGCTGGCAGCCAGCTGCAGCGCCCAGCTGCCCAAGCACCCAGCGGACCTCGCCTCCATGCTGTCCCATCAGCAGTTCGCCATGACCCGCATGATCTCTACCTTCGACGCCCGCGCCGATGAGTCCACGCTGGTCAACGACTGTTTCAACCACTACCTGGACGACCAGAGGGAGGTCATCGTTAACTACAACCTGCACTATAACGGCTGCATCAACACCGCCCAGGCCTCCAGGGAAGCCCTTACCGCCGAGAGCGCCTCAGAGCGTCAGAGCCTCCTGGACCGCACTAACGCCATGTGCACGAGCCTTACCAGTTGCGACGCCGAAGTCGATGGTTTGAAGTTCTTTGACTGCTACCGACTTGCCGTACGTATAGGTTGAAGTTTTCTTCAAAGGAATCCCATCTAATCTGACAACATTTCAGTCCTCCGACAGCTACAAGACCATGTTCACCTTGAACAGTGACTCCAACCTGGACTTTAACCGTATCAGCGCCAGTTACAGCGTCATCGAGACTGACCTGACCGACTGCGTGGATGTCGCCCGTGTGGAATATGCCCACGACATGGACTCTTGCGATGAGAACCTCACTGTTTGCTTAGCTGGAGGAGAGGTGCCTTCCACAGAGAGTTCCACTACAGCATCGACCACAGAGAGTTCTACAGAGTCGTCCACAGAGAGTTCCACTGAGTCGTCAACAGAGACGGAAGCTCCCATCAGCACCGCTTCTCCTTCCACCCCTGCCCCTTCAACCGCTGCTCCATCCACCCCTGCTCCTTCAACCGCTGCTCCTTCCACCCCTGCTCCTTCAACCGCTGCCCCTTCAACCGCTGCTCCTTCCACCCCTGCTCCTTCCACCCTTGCTCCTTCAACCGCTGCTCCTTCCACCCCTGCTCCTTCAACCGCTGCTCCTTCCACCCCTGCTCCTTCAACCGCTGCTCCTTCCACCCCTGCTCCTTCAACCGCAGATCCTCTTCCCACTAATGGTCCAATCACCGAAGAGTCCCCGAACGCACCAGAGGAGGATATTGAGAAGGCCTTGCCGATGGCTCACAAGGGAACTTGGCGCCTCTTTAAGCGCTTCTTCTAAGAAGCTAAGGTCGTGCTCTGTTTCAACGATTCCCAATTTATTTATTGCGCCCATGAGTAAACTGAAGCCAGAAATAAGGCCTAAATAAAACAGTTGCTAAAATGTAGAATACTTTTCAGTTCTCTTCGAAATTGCTGTTGTCCGTGCCTGCACATTGGGGATACGAGTATTTTCTTGCCGACGTATATTGAGAAATTCGGTTAATCGAAGTAGATAAGGGGCAGAACTCAGTCGGAGGTCTACTGGCTACCAGAACGTGTAAGAGATCGGATTATACAGGTTTGAGCTACGGAATAACACTTGCAATCAATGAGAACGCCAGCGGAGAGATAAAGAAACACCTGAACTTGTCAAATGCTGATACTATACTCATATATTGTGTAAGTTAGTGGTACAGTCCGACCTGGAATCGTAGAACATTTGAAACATTATTATATTCCTCGTTTTTTAAAGTAATTCTGCTTAACAGTTGAGTACTTTTCAAGTAGTTGCGCGGGTTCCGCTTCAACAAGCCGGACTGTATATTTGTTGGGCTTCGATCGGGACAATAAAATGAATGGGGGAATTGCTAGGAACTGATCAATTAGACACTTCCCGGGCGACACAAGATACTGGATTGAGTACGCTATCGGGGCAGCAGCACCGTCGAGGCGGCATTTGAGATCTGCGGCCAAATGAATTCAGTACGAGAACACAAGCGACTAGGCGAAACCATCTGTCGCCAAATGCGGCTGGCTCTGTTTATGCTGGGCCTATGGGCGGTGCGGACGCAGGCCCTGGGATTTGACTGGCTGACCCCTATGCCTGACATTACCATCGATGAGTGCCACGATGACTATCTCTTAGCCTGCGCTAATGCTTCGCTGACCTTCTCCGATGCCTTTGATCTGTGCGAACAGACGGCCAACGAGACGAAAATTGAGCTCTCTATAGACGAGGAGGTGGAGCGACTACAAATTGAGCTGGGCGCCAGTGAAGTGTGTGGCAATCTCCACATCTGTGACACCCTGGAGAATGATCTCGATTACTTCAAGTGCATCAGCGATAATGTAAGTTGTAGGAGTCTAACTTCTTTCTCTGTCTCTAATCCACCATTTCAATGCCGCAGGGGAGTCGCAATATTGACATTCTCTCCGAAATCACATACAATTCCACCAGTGCACTTACGCGACTTCGGGAGGACTACGATGATGTGTATCGCACCTATCTACTCTGCACCCTGGACGCACAGAAGAACTACATTGAAAACCTGCGTGAGGCCTACACGGAGCTCAGCCAGTGCCGAGTCGACGCAGGCGATTATTTGTATTAAAGAGCACAAATATGTGTGGTAGATTAACCCAAGCTTTAATGTTCTTCACTCTGCTGCAGGCATTGGTCCAGGTCTCTAAAGACCCGGTCCGTCCCCTCCACATAGCTGTGCTCGGTGCGATTCGTGCACAGGTAGTGCTCCACATCGATGGTGCTCAACTGCTGGCTCAGGCTGAGGGCATCCTCTGAGGCGTTGTATGAAATAGTATACACAGTGGCCAACTGCTGCTTGGACTGCTTGGACAGATGGGGGTTAGATTTAGGCTATACCTTGCCGGCTGGCTACTCACCATTTTGGCAAAGCAGTTGAAGAAGTCCAAGGCGTCGGAAATATCCAAACAGTGGTCTATAAATGCACTTATGCCCATGGCAGCTTCCCGAAGTTGATTCTGCGCCGCACTGACATTCGTGTCCAGCGACTGGCGTTCACTTGTGGACTTCTTCAGGCAGCTGCTGTAGCTTTTCGACCAGGTGGTACCCTGGCTCTCCAACTGTGGCAAGTAGCGAGCGAAGCATTGCTTGGTGGTGGTTTCATTGGTTTCCAGATAGGAGAACAGGTTCTTCAGAGTCTTGGGCTGTTCATCTACTGCCTGCAAGGAAAAATTCCTTCGGTAAACTGGCTGTCCGCAAATAGAAAGGTCACGTCTTCAGCCTACCCCCAGGCACATCGCAGGGACCAGACCCAGCACCAGCAGTATGATAATAGTCGCAGGTGTCATGTCTCTGCTAACGCTCGACTGACAAAAAGTAGCCAAATTTCCACCTAAAGTCACCGAAAGTTGGCCGTGTAATCTGACATTGATGCATGGTTTGTTTATATGCTGGCTTATCGGACCGTCTGCAAATATCGATTCAGTGTCCCTAAAACTGTGGAAAATATGTAGCATACGTTTGTGCGAGAACAAGAAAGTTAATACCTTGAGTGGAATGTTCTAAGATTCGTAAGCTGTTTGCAACGCACAGCAGGAGACATCTCCGGCCCCATAACTTTACGGTTATTATAAATGAAAAGAGAATAATAGGGGACTTGCATGGACTAGATCCAAGGGAAAGTCTGAGAATGATTGAAATGCTTTTCGATTCCCAGGGTTACAACAATTTTGGGAATTCCTCTAATAATTGGAGCCAACGACTTCCACTATAGATCTATTTTACAAAGCCTAAAAGCTGCCGGATTCCGTTGGACAAGTTAAAAGTGATGGACATTTTATTGTAAGCGCTCCCGCATTCCTTATCAGTCGTTAACGCTTTCTATATTTGACCCTGACGACACGTGAATGGCATCCACTCGATTGAAATGCACATGCAAAGCAATTTGGGACTCCGGGTATTACGCATACAACTTAATGCTTCCTAATTGATGGCCGCCCAACCGCAGACTAATTGCAGAGACAGAGCAGAACAAATTCACGAAAATTCACAAAAGTTCATCGAGGCGAACAGATCAATCATCCGCCTCCAGTCGCGACGGTACCACCAAGTATATAAAGCTTTGGAGCTTCCTGGCTGCCACCGACAGTAAAATCAGAACCACCGAACAACATGAAGCTTCTCTGCAGTGTGTTAATCCTCGCCAGCGTGCTCGTCGCCCAAGTAATTAGCCCCCCTTCCATCTCCCTTCCCCATTCGGTCTCGGAATTGAGGGCAGTAAAGAATTTCCAATTGATTCGCAGGCCAAGCCGGGAGCCGTGCAGACGCAACTGCAGAGCGCCCTGGACCAATACCTGGCGCACGCTCAGACCTTCGATACCACCATCACGGCCGACGTGACCACGCAGTGCTTCAGCTTGTATCTGCCGATGCTGAACGAGGTGGCTGCCACCTTCTCTAGCTCGTACAAGTCCTGCGTCAATACCGCCAGCGCAGAGGCGGCCAATCTGACCGCTCAGGCCGCCAAACAGCAGACGATCTACCAGCAGGAGGTCACCTCTCTCTGCAGTGCCTTCACCACCTGCGACAGCGACAACGACACGAGCACCTTCTTCACCTGCTACGCCAACGCGGTGAGTACCGATCCCGAGGGCCAGGGCGGAGCAGGGCCCTGCCTGTACTGACTTCGAACTATGCTCCGCAGGCCAACAGCGACGTCTCCCTCATCTACGATATTGCCACCAATTCCGCCAGCTCGGCCAGCAGCCTAAGTGAGAGCATGAAGGCAATTCAGGACACGGAATACCAGTGCACCAACACCACCGAGAGCAACTACGTCCGTGACACGGCCGCCACATACGACCTCCTCGACAGTTGTCTTAAGTACGGTGTCCCCACCGTCTCCACTGCCGCGCCCTCCCCCTCTACCAACGGCCCCGTGGCTAGCTCGAGCGGGGCTCCTACCAGTACTGTCAGCACTCTGGCTCCAACAACGGACGTTCCGGCCAGCAGTGCCGTCCCAGTGACTACCGCTGCCCCCGGCACTTCAGGTAAAGTGACCACTCCTGCTGCCGGCACCCCAGCCGCAGCATAGGTCCAAATCTGATATCCAATAAATGAGCATTCACAAATCGCATGCGACTATCAATTCGATTCCGCCCGGGGCCACACAATTGACCTTAACCAAATAGACACAGTGTTTATACGAGTACAAGGGTAATATTTCATATTAATTCTCATGAATATTTAACAATAATTACTACTGAAATACGTAAGATGTGTAGCATTAACAAGCTCTGGATTTTCCTTGGGAGAAGTATTCACCGAACGAAGTATTCTGAGTGAAAATTACGCGTATCTTATAGCAAAACTACCTAACTACATAGTGAGGGCATCAGTGCGAATGAAAAAGGCACATAAATATTCAATTTGTAAGCCGACATATCGGCCACCTCCGAGCTGCCCGCACATCGGCGATACTCGTACATTCAATTATCTCTCTATGTGGCCATTGCTGTTGCTGTAGCTGTAGCTGTTAACGCTTTAAAATGTGCGCACACACACTAGATTGTAGTCAGTCGAAGTTTGTTCTCAGACCATTAAGCATGAAAGGCCACCAACGTAGTTTCGCTCTGCCAGTTGTCGTCGTCGTGGTTGCCGTGGCCATTGCCGGGCTGTGCGTGCTGTCAGGGCTGAATGTAATGAAAATTGAGTAGAACAACAGCATACATGGCTCTCTGACAGTGGGAAACTACAATCCTGTAAACGTTTATCCTTTATCAGGCAGCGCCTCTCGACGTGCAGTGCAACTGTGGGGACGCAGGAACGCAGCACTCAGCCGACGGCCTTCAGACCCAGACCCAGACCGGTCCCGGCTGCCAGACGCAAACCTCCGAGAATGGCACCCAGAGCCAGAGCCAGAGTGGCAGTGGCAATTCTAGCCAGTCCCAGACCCAGTGCACTGGCTCCGACTGCGCTCCACTCACGCCCTTTCCACCGCTGTTCACCATGAAGCCAATGGAGCCCCTCACGTGGAAGCCATTGGAATGGGGGTCACTGCAACCCATTGCGCCGCTGAATGGGCAGCAACAGCAACAGCAGCCCGATGTAGCTTAAGCTCTTCAAATGATTGTCCGATTCAATAAAGGCTGGCGAGTTGAGTAGAAGCCCCAGCGTGTGGTCCATTGGGTCCACCTCACTGACATATCCAGTACTCTAGTTTTCAATTCGGTTTCATATAAAAATGTCGAATGGGCATCCACTATTTGCTCGGAACTAGGACTGACTTAATTCCATTTTCAGGTTGCTCTTGACGGTCGGCCACCTCTGGCTATGGTCAGGCCCTACACGAATGTTCCACGGGAGATTAGAGAAACCCAGGGAAAACTCTGATTCTCATTGCTTCTGAAGTGCGTTGAAGTCCCATTTCGAGTGCTCACTGTAAATCACAGCCCCATTAGGCTGCCAATAAGTGTCCAACCAGCGAGCGATTATAGATAGCAGAGCATTTACTGATATGGAAAAAATATGTATGTACTGATACGATGTTGGCGCTTTTTTTTGTATTACATTTAACTATTTTAAAGAGTAGATAAGAAGTACGGTGGTAATTAAAAAATACGTTCTGAAGGCTATACTGTACGAAGGATATTTGTATTCGAACGAGTTCCTATATAAGTCTAATTCGGAAAAGTCAGCATCCGATCAATTAAATATACTGAGACCAGAAGCTGTTGGCGGTAAAGAGGTATTATTTCAAAAGGCAATTAAAAATGATAAATGATAATTCCAGCCTCCCATTAGTTAAACCATGACATAATCAAGAAGAATAAACTTTTTTCCTTGGCTGCAATATAAATTGAAAATTTCTTAACAATTAAAACACCAAGGACATTTTTCTTTCAACTTCGGTTGAAGTTTCTTCTCTCATTGCTTTCATCAATTACTGAGAACCGAAAAAAATGCTTTAGTAAATTTGTGATTGAGTAATACTCCAGATGAATTTTATTTATCTCGAATTGCCTCCATGATTTTCCACAGCTTCGTGAACTTTTGCTCACCATTTACCCAGTGAGATTGACAGTTGGGCTGCATCAGAGGATGATGATGAATTCTACCCGAAATGTTGTCTGTGGTTAATGCAGTTTTTTGTTTTCTTCCCAGATAAAACTTTTGTAATGCGCCGAACTTTTACCGACTGTGGCAACCCATTGTGGCACCTCAGCGCGATGCGGCCGTGGGCGACGTGTGCAAGTAACTGTGGCAAAAGGCGCCACAATAATCAACGGCAGCCGTGGCAATCCGGCGGAGGATATCGTCAACGGTTGATGTTGATGTTGATGTTCGGGGTTGCTCCTCGTACTGCCGCCAGCTGGCTTTTAACTCATTTTCTGATTAAAATCTTGGCCATTAAGCGTGCAAGCTCAAATCGGGCTAACTTTTTTAATGGCACTGACAATAGTCGCTCCAGACCCTGCTTTAGCTTTCTGTACTCCCAATCTCCAATCCGTGCAATCTGCAGTGCGGCCGCAAAAAGGACGCGCGAAAATTGGCGCCTGCAACGAACGACGATGGTCACGACATGGCGCAGAATTCGGTGTAAAATTAAATTAAAACTGCCAGCGCAGCAGCAGATGGATCCGAGGCGGTGGGGAGATTGCGAAAATATTTGCGAGCCTTTAAGGAGAAGGCCAGATGGGCTGATAGTGAAAAACAGCATGCGGAGACGGCACACCACCCTGGCAAAGGAGGAGCTGGTAGAGAACTCTCAGCGCCAGCTGTCAGCGGCTGCCAGGCCAACGATGTCAATTAGTTTTTGAAGCGAAGCTGACCCCCGTCTCTTAGCCACCCCTGTCCTTTCGTCCCACTCAAGTTAGCTTTAAGTTAATTGCACAAGATTTCACTTTGCTCTTCCCGTTCTCACATCCGTTTCCGCTACTCTCCGCTCAGCTCCGTCCCACCCAGCCGCCACCACCGACATTTTTAATCAAGTTAAAAGTTATTTTTAAATGGAGTGCGAGCGAAATATGCAATTGCAATGCAAACATAGCAAAGGTCCTGCCGCTGGATCTGCATATGTATCTGTATCTGAATCTGCATCTGCAGCACTGCATACAAAGTATTTATCATCTGATTATTTCGTGGCGCATTCGTGACCAGCTTGATTGCACTGGCGGCATTTCGCCATTCCAGTTTCAGCGGCCTCTCCACATTTATTTACAGAAATATATGGTTGCTCAAGCCTTTTTATGGCGTGTGGGCTTATTATTTTTAACTGTTTTCATCAGACTTAAATTCAATGAAACGGTAAAATTTTTTCCGAGCTAATTTAATTAATTACATACCAAGGTTGGTGATGGCGGAATTTATTCATCAGTTAAGGCTAACAGTTAAGCAAGTGATGGTGCAACGCCGCCGAGGGGAGGAATATTGCGAGATTGATTGGAACGCATAGTGATAGATGGAGTCGAAGATGCAAAGGATTGCAGTTTCAATGGGGGAAGTCGAGGGTGGGTTTCGTGGCAAAAGAAACGAATCTTGTAAGAGCTTGTTTTGAATTAAATGAAAGCTTTTCATGGTATTGCATAATTTCATTATAACTTCTTACTTTTTACCTTTGGTTTTCATGGATGAATAATATTTGCGCGCGTGCTCTCGCTCTCACTCTCCCTTTCACCTACCTTTCGCCATTCATTTGTCATTTTGTTGGCTTCTTTTTTATATTTTTAACAAATTATCTGTGGCAACAACCAGACAGAGATACCATCGCAAACACACACACACACAGCTGTAGGAGCTCACTGAAGCACTCGCCGACTTACCTACGATGTTATTTTGGGTGCTTTACACCTGGAAAGCCTTTGATTGATGATACGACCCATTGATAGGGGGCTCTAAACAGCCACCCGACCAGCAGCAGCACCAAAGCCCTTTCTGTCCAGCTAATTGGCGCTAAAGTAGCTGCCGTTTAAAAATATTTTAGCAAATTATGCTTGTATAGTTTTTCGGGGTTTTTTAAGAATTAAGCTAATTATGCTCTCAAAGTGAAGCCAACTGAACCATGGCATAGCCTTTCCTTTCCAGGCTGGTCGGCTCCGGTATGGTATGGTCTCGTCTGAGCTAATTAGAGCAGCCAACGTTAATTGCAATTTGCAATGATTCCCCCGGGGTAGGGGTGGGCAGAGGACCAGTGGGCGACGGGAGAACAGATGTGCGGCACGTTACATAGATGTCGCATCAACTCTTATAGCTGTTGCTGTCGCCGCTGCTGGCGTTGTCACGTTTTTGGTGGCTGCTTTTCCGTATGACTCCATTGCGAGCATTGCCACAGATGTTGCACTTGCCACACGATTTGCAGTTACGTGCGAGAGGGACATGCAGACAGAGAGCGAGATGAAGAGAGCTGCACTGTAACCGAATCTTGTCTGAACCGAAAATCTTCTAATTTTCTACTGCAGTGATTTCGCATGCATAGAGAGTGCATGCCTCAGCACTGGCCCTTGCACGGTACGAGCACGGGCACGGGCACGGGCACGGCGAAGGGTCTCACTGATTTATGCGCATCAATAAGTTTCCAGAGTTGCCGATACTTATGCGAAATGTGCCGCAATGAGACGTGGACCCGACCGGGGCACGTTCGCCTGCAGTGGCAGATAGATACTCTGGCAGCGACTCCCAGCTGCTAAAATAATGATTTGCATTTCGATCTGGGGCTGGAATTCGATTTGAGGTTGACCAGCGGGGGAGAGGAAAGAATAACGCAACACAGTTCTTGGGACTAATGAGAATAACCCCCACAGCCAACTTCCTCCGACCCCGTCTGCTTATCGCCTCGCTTTGGGAAGGGAAAGCCAAATTCCCAGCCAAATAATTCATTTTCGCTGCTTTGTTTGTTGCCCACGTTTATGGCCACCGCTTATCTTAATGGGTCAAAGGTTATGGCCAGCCTTGAGATGAGACAGTCCGCCAAACTTCCGTTGCCCAAATGCTCACCACGCCATACCCAACCACTGAGCACCAGAATCGGCTTTACTTCTGCATTCAAACAGCGCACTGCGGGCGGTCCAAGAAGGCGCCGTGCGCCCAGCCAGAGATTAGGCGTGTTTATAAATAGATTTATGGATCGTCAGTGGGAGAACCTTTTAGCCCCCAGCCCTAAGCACAGTTCCAACCATAGCTCGATGTGGCAATAAACACGCCATAGAGCCACTGCAACTACATGAGCGGCATTTAATAAAGACGAAACCAAGAAATCTGTATTCCGACTATGCGATACCCGGGAATTACCAAAGAAATCCTCTTTGTTTAATAATTATTGGACTGTAAATTTCAAATATATTTATCACTATGGATGCACTCGTTCATACTCAGAGGTAGACAGGGCTAAAGCGTATAGATCCCATGCATATATGCGATCGGGGCCCTTCCCTCTGCCTGCTACATACATACATTGGTACAAAAAGCAGATACTCCTACTGCACACTACGAGCACCGCATAACGAGTATAATTACGTTATTTTCGACTGTCGGCTGACTGGAGCCGAGCACTCAGCCTCATAGAGCCACACATGGCAAGCTCCACTCCACTCCACTCGACTCAACTTAACTCATTTGCTAAATCAAGCATGCACCACTTAAATTTTCATTAGACTGTTTTCCGTATGCTCACTTGCTGTGGCCTGCATTTGCAGCTCATGCTCCTTCTTCTAAGTCGAAACAGAACCGCAGTGTGTGCGCACTTTGTCTTAATGATGTTAAAGTGAATTTAAACTTACGTGATTTTTACGTGAGCGCCAGTAATTGGCGCTGCACTTGCACATACAGTCATGACCGGCAAAAAGGTGAATGCGCTAAGTAGAAGCCAATGCAGTCTTTCATGAACTGAAAGAAACTAAACTAGAAATAGTTTGTGTTATATAACACATCATCAAATAATAATTGTAGGGATTATGAATATTCTATAAAAATATTGAAGTCATGTATTTCTGATAAATTTTTTGTAATAAGCTTTACTTGCATGAATTAAATAGATTTTTTCAGAGTGTATGCATAGTTGCCTTCCTCCGTGCAGAGATGTGAGTCATATCTCTGATATGGTGTCATCATTCAGCGAGCGGCGGAGATTTTTCGTGAGGAGCTCCTGCGGCACATGTGCTCACGTATTGGCCATAAATATTAGGGTTAAGGGCGGGCATCGCCAACC